TATGGAACACATAATATTTTTTTATTTTTAATTATAATACTACAATTTTGATGCTCAAATTATATGAAATTTCTCGAAGAATTTATTGTAATCACAATCAATTTATTAAGAGAAAAATTAAATGACTTTATTGTTCATAAGCTTAAATTATTCAATGATATATTATTTTGATTGGTATATAACATTATTTATGAATTAAATAGCTCGATAATATATATTCAGCTATATGGGGAAAATTTTACCAGCTTTAACAATATATTTACCAGATTTTTCTGTCTATCTCTTTACTGTAAACAAACAATTCATATATTAGATTAAAGAGAATCAACAGCTTCCCTTACCCCTCACCTTATCTCTGTTATTTTGTATATATGTTTTTATTGCTTTGATTATTGGTCTATAGACATTCGAGTCAAGGTCAAGTCAATCCATTTTAAAATGTAAAATTGTCTCATTACACCCATTTACCAGTGAAAAAGTATACTCTATAAGAAAATTTACGAAACTTCTAGAAATTCTGGTCAAGTTTTTAGCTTGAAACAAGAAACTTAAAAATATATTCACCTAGATATATTAAAATGCATATATATAAATCTGTAAAATATATATATGTATATATATTTTGTATATAGTAAATATATTTATATAAAAAAACATTATACCCTGCTTCAGGGTATAAAATTATATCAGCCTGAATATCATTTTCATTCTTTTCTCAGTAATATATATATTCTTATATATCTTTACTGAGTTGGGATTATATTAATGATGATTAATAACCGATTAAAATATATTTACTAAAATATACTTTAACATTTACTATATTCTCTGTGCTGATATACGCGTATTTATGTGTTTTTCTATTTTCTGTTTATAGGGCTATTCCTAGTCTGGCAATCTTTAATACATTCATAGTTTTTATGATTGCAATCAAACAGTTTTAGACTTGCTCTGGGCTAGGCCCGCGCTGATAAGCTTTTATTGATACAAGTTCACATAGGCATTTAATTTGTTTACAACTTTGTACATATATATTTATATATAAGTATATTATATATATGTATATTCATTTACTTGTTTAGTATTTTAATTGTCTCACACTTCACTTGATTATTTTCACTCTACTTTTCTACTTCGGTGGCTGCTCTTGAGCTGCTCTTTGGCCCTCGTCTCCCTTCACATCGCTTAGCACAAATCTGACACTCAAGACGCGTCCATTTTGGTCGACAATCGTTTTGACCAGTTCCCCGTTTTGATTGTGAATGTCCGTTGGCGTCAGATGCACCTGAGACAGAAAGTTTTCGATTGCGCTATCCCGTGGTGGGGGTGGTGCAAGTGGTGCAGGTGGTGCAAATGCTGCGGGTGGTGCACTCCCTGTCAAGTTGTTAACGCGCACCGTTGTCTTGATTATCCTGCCATCGGGCAGGACACGCGTGCGCACCACTTCGTTGCCCAGGTCCTTGGCGCGTTGAATGTCGTCGTCGGTGATGCCGCCACGATTCAGCATCTCCCTTACATGTGGCTCCAGTTCGGCGGTCTTTGGTGGCTCAACCGAGTTGAAGTTGCTGCGATAGCTAATCTTTGTAGCGGGCAGCTCGTCCAGATTGATGTTGGTCACCGGCCTGAGGGGCTCGTCGTACGGCTTGGGCGGAGCTGTGGGCAGGGGCGGGTAATCGCTGCTTTGCGGTTGTCGGGTCGGGAAGGGCAGCGGCGTGGGCAGCGGCACGGGCTCCAACACGGGCTTAACCGTAGTCGTTGGCACTAAACTGGGTAGCTCTCCGGCTGCTGGAAGAAATCCAGCTCCAGCTCCAGGTGCGGGTGCAGCAGCAGCTCCATCTACTCCAGATGCGAAACTTGGATTCTTGAACCATGGCGGCAAACCCTGATCAAATAGGGCAGGGGTAGATGGCTGCCAGCTGGCTGGCAAGCCTCCTCCAACATCGCCGCCAATCGAGGTCCAAGTGCGAAAGAGCGGTCCACTGTAGGTGCGTGTCCTGGTCGTAATCGTGTTGCCCTGATTATCCTGCTCCGTTTTGGTGCTTGTCTGCGGCACAATGCCCGACGGGAACTCAAAGCTGGGCCAGTTCGGCTTCAGGTCTGTGCCCGCCGACCAGGTGGCGCTGCCCACAGGTCCTCGATATGTCTTGATCGTGGTGGTCACTGTGCGTCCTTGATCATCCTTCTCGGTTTTGGTACTTGTCTGCGGAGTTACGCCCGCTGGGAAGTCAAAGCTAGGCCAGCCGCGAAAACTTGGCCAATGCTCGTCAAATGGCGAATTGCTACCCAGGGTGAAAGTGCGTCGATTGCCCACGCTCGATGGCAAGTATTCCCAATCCGTTTGAGGATTCGTCGCGGGCTTGGGCGTCGACTGCGCTGGGGGCGTTGCGGTCGTCGTTGACGGCAGTTGGTCCTGGCTGGAAGTCTTGCTTATGCTTTGGCCATCCGGCGAGAGTGTGTAGGTCGTCGTATGCAGCTGACCCAGTGCATCCGGCTTGCTGACTATCACCGGCTGTTTGGTTCTCCACAATTCTCCCAAAGCCGCTGGCTCCATGCCCAGCTCGATGGCCTGGCGGGTTAGAGCAACGCTGGGTGTATCATTAGTCCCGCTGCTGCTGCTGCTGCTCGCTGCGCCGCTTAGCTGAGATAAGCGGGATGACGTCATTGAGCGCACTCAATCGAATACAAACTGACCTACCTTCAGGGCCAACAGGCAGAACAGAAAATAATTTGCACCTTTCATGCTGCGAGTGCTGAAACGAAACTGAGATCAGCACTGGAGCGGCTGCCCACTAAATAGACTCCCGATTGAGGAATTACTTTATAGCTATATAGCTGAGAGAGCTGGGCGACGATCGAATAGATAGCTATAATAAAGTATATATAGAATTGAGTAAAATCAGATGAGCGTAAGCTTGTTCTCTTGAGGTTATCGCTGATCGAAGCCTCTGGGCAAATTCAGAACTGATTGGAATATGAGAAAATTAATTATATATATATACATATTTTTTATTTTTTTTTTTCGTATATATTCCCTTTCGATGTGTTGCGCTCGACTATGAATTAAACAGAATTTCCTGGAAAATTCTATTCCATACAAAAATTAAAATTCAAGTTAATAATTAAAAAATAATACAGCATTTTAATTTAATTAACTTTTACTACAGCATTTCAATTTAAATCTATAATAAAATCATTAATAATATATATTAATAAATTTATTCGGATTTTATATAATTCAAACCATTTCAAACATTTTCATCAACATATGAAAATGTAGAAAATGTATTAAAAAAGAAACCCAAAACAAATTCTAATTGAAATTGTTGAGCTTTATTTGGGCACAAATTAAACAGGAAACAGGAACACCCCTAGCCATTCCAAATCTAGAAATCCTTTATATAAGGATATAAAAAAAAATATAGAAGATGCTGTCTGTGGCTTAGAAAGGTAGTCCTGGGACCTTAGACCAAGGTCCAGTGGCGGCTCAGTAAAAAGGTTGTTCACAGGGTAGTTTGAGAGGGAGACAGGCGTGGGGCGTAGTTAGGCTAGCTGCAGGGGTTACGGGTTGCCAGTTGCCAGTTGCCGGTTACCCATGCAGGATTTACGCTAAAAAGACGCCATAAACTTTGAATGTTGGTAGAGGCACAAAAAGAAAAAACATAAAAGTATAAGCGTCAGAAGGGTATGCATGACTAGCAAGTGCCCTGTACGTAACTGAAATCTAAAGTGTAGAATGTATTCTGGGAAATGTGGAGGAGAAGAATTTTATTTAAATGACATCATTAGGCTAACTAGCCTCTACTCTATATAAAGGACTTTATAGCAAATACTAAAAAAGTATTTGATATACCTTATGCATTCCGCTTACCACCAAGTACAGTCGTACAGCATACCCACCTTGCTAAGCCATACAGGGTGTAGAAAAAACGGACCGAAATTGGAATTTGATAGACGCCTGGGCGTCGGTCTGTGACTCGTCCTTCGACTGTCCTCGTTGGCGCTGGCAAAGTTCAGAGGCCGTTGCACGGTACACAGGAGCCGCTAAGTGGGCGGCCAGAGGTGCAGGCGGACATCGGACGTGGGCTCAAGATGGGGTTAGGGTAGCGTTGGCCGGGGCTGGGGCTGGGGTAGTGTAGGGTGAGCATGCCAAGTATTGACGACTTTTTAAAAGGGTCGAGTGACGTCGCTGCTGTTAAGGATGGGACAATGTGTGTGTGGGTGTGTGGGTGTGTGTGTGTGGGGCCGCACAGCTGTGGGCTGCGTTGGCGCGTGTAATAAACCAAGCGATTTTAACACCCGCAATGCGAAGGGTGTAGTGTAGGGCATAGGGCATAGGGTGTCGGGTAGTCCTTGGTAGCCGGGCAAAGTTATAAAACTTTACAGTTAACTAGGCTTGGCAATCAAGCTAAAAGCAAAGGCGTCGTCATCAGTGCCTCCCAAACAAACACACACACACACACACCTACTACTACTACTCCCACCCCCTCCCCCTCTGTCCCACTCTCTGTGGGCGTCGCGTCACGTCTGGCGCCATCTAGCGGCCGTTGCATGAGTATGCCAGCCGAAAAAAAAAGAAACCAACTGGAAACGGAACGGCAAGCACCTCTAAACGTGGACAGTTCTCGGCACACAAACACACACACCTGCACTTACCCACTCACACACTTGCACACCCCCACACACTCACACCCACACTCACACGCTCCTGGACGTGTGTGTCCTTTTTTTGCGACTATCCTATCCGCCGGGCTTGGCTTAACCAATGCGACGTTTGTTTGCTCAAATCGTTTCTCGTTTTAAACATTCGCCTTTTGTTTTCTTTTTCTCTGTTCCTTTCTTCTTTTTTTTTTTTTTTTGGTTTTTCTCTTGCCTTTTGCCATTCCACATTTGCCATTTTATCTGTCTCGTTCGTAGACATTGTCTGTGGCCCAACAAAAATGGAATGAAAGAGCCAGCTCCCTTTATTTTCTAACGGCCTTTTTTTTTTACCCATCGAGTCTAAATTAAAGTCTATTCAAAACGCAATATTTGCTAGAAGAGATCTGATTATTTAGCTAAGGGGATCAGAAGTGATATTGGTCGAAAATTTGTTTAATTGAAAGGCCCGATATTACAGAAGAACCCCAAATATATGGCTAAAAATATTTGATATATAGAAATTAAAAGTATTTAAGCTTCTTCAGTCAAAATATTCAGAATTTAAAGCAATAATTTTGCATGGTATATTAAATTTAAAACTCAAAAAATATCAATTGATTGAAAATTATTTCTTATATAAAGATTCCTGAACGAATTTTATTACAATAGAAAAAGTCAATTTCTCAATAAATAATTACTTTGACATTTTTATAGCTTTATGCTGAAAATATTTCTCAAAAACTTCATAATGATATTTTCTAGAAAAGGTAAAACTCTTCATTCGCAACTCCCATTATGATTTCAAAAATGTTTCTAATTTCAACAGTAATTTGAATGTTAAAAATATTCCTCGATAGACTTCCCTCAATGCAAAATTGATCTCTAATCCCTTAAGCAGAATTTGATCTGGTCTTTAATAAGTAGCTTAATTAAAAATGCTCTGTGCGCTAGAAATAATTAAAGAGTCCGCATAAATGTGGGACTACTTCAGTAAAAATTGAGAAAATGAGGATGAAGTATAAGAAAAACTAACGGAGAAAAAAAGAAAATATTTCTTGGCTTGGTTTTAGAGGAGTGCACAGGAGTTGGCCAAGAGTACGGCACGCACCCTTAGAAGTTGAAGGCAGAAAAATAAAACGACAAATGGAGCTTAGGGTGCCTTGTCCCACCAACACCCTCCCCCTCCCTTCCCCTACTCTTGTTCCCTCTGCCCACCCCACCCTTGACCGCGTCGAGGGATTCGGGCATGTCAGTCAGACTGTGTGCGGACCGAGCGGAGTTTTAGGACCGTTTGGAACATGGGTCGGGCACTTCTTCATTAATTTTCATGGCGGCACAAGAACAATGCTCGCAACGAAACCCCCAGACCAGGGCTGGACTCGTCCTCTTAGCGCCCAACTGGCTACCACTCCCCCTACGCCCCACAAAGCTCCAATATGAAAACGTAGAAAGCAGAAATGATGGGAAAAAAGAAAAAGGAAAACACTTTACGAAAGGGGAGCTGTTGCTAGTTGCATTGAATATGAAATACACTTGCCTAAGATAAAGAAGATAAATCAATATATGAATAGATAAACTAAATAATAAATAAAAGTGTATTGAATTTGTGTTAACAAAAATATTCTAATTTTAATTTTTATATTTTCTACTTGTATATTTTCTACTTTTTATATTTTCTACTTCCCAAATTTCCCGAGTATTCCCTGAAATCCGTCAATATCTGCTTATTCATTCAGTTAATATTTAATATTCAATCAAGTTTGGAATATCAAATATATGTTCTTTTTATTTTCTATTCTCTCTTTTCTATTTTCTTTTCCCGATATATGAAATTTCCTGAGAATTTCCTGAAGTTCTTCCTTAAGAAGGATCCCTCAAGTGCTGGCTACCCACTCAACTGAAGTACTTGGGTTTTTTCGCCAAGTGTATGGAAAAGTTACTCCTGCTGCCAAGTTGTGGGTGTGTTTTGTGCAAATGAGTGGAGGTGGGGATGGGGCTGGAGGTGGAGAGTCAAGCGAAGGGGGTGGCTTCTGGGGTTGGAGATTGGGGTCTGGTTAGAGCGAGCTATGCGCTGTCCTTCCTTCGCTGTCTGTCTCTATGTGTATGTGTGTGTGTTTCTGGATGGGTGTGTATTTGAGAGTGCGTCTGTGTGGGTTGATTACTTTCTGTTTTAGGTGCCTGTCCGTCCACGCCCACCAGTCCACTAGTCCAGCAGGCGCCCCCGCCCAAGCCGTTTCAGGGCGAACGCATTTTTATGTTTGCTCGCCTGGCTAGCGGTCCTTATTTTTTATCGCCAGCACAGGATGCGAAGCCCTTTTTTGCTGTGCCCCGCTCGCACCCAGAGCCACGGTACGTCCAAATGGACGACTGGCAGAGACAATTGTCCACTGAGCTAAGGGCAGCTGGAGATGTAGCGATGGAGACGGCGATGAGGATGGGGATGGAGATGGGGTAGACGGTTTTTGTTAGAATTGCAATTTTTGCGCAGAAGAAAAAGCCAAGAGAAAGCGTCTTGGCAACTGCTTTGACATGCTCCTCAGCCTCGGCCGCAGCCTCCGTCTCCATTTCCTTCTCCGTCTCCGTCTACGTCTCAGCATCTTTAGCGAAATGCTCTAATGAATTTCCGTCCAGGCAACTGGGCAACAACCCTCAAAAGAAAGCACAAAAAAAAGCAATGGAAATAAAAAACAATTAAAGTGTGCTTACGAGGGGTGCTTGGTCAGATATATAGGGGAGCGGGGGTTGGTTGAGGAAATGAGGTAGAGGCAGACGCACCCATAATCATAATTGCGCAGCCCGAAAGTGCGGACGAAACAAGCTCTAAGCGCCCCCGCCCAACACCCCCGCTCGACTTGTCGATTGTTTCTTGAACCCGTTTTTTCTTTCTAATTGTTGAGCCGGTATTCCCGTTAATTTCTTCTTTTTTTTCGCTTTGCTTTGCTTTCGCTCTGCTTAATTGTGTGCCCGGCTTGTTTTCCTTTTGGATAGCCTGTCCTTCAGCTATGTTTTCTTCTCTTTTTTTTTATTTTTTTGTAATTTTGCTGGTTAGAGCGGAATTTTCACTTGCTTTTAATTTGTCAATTTTGTGCGTTGTCTCTTGTTGTTTTCTTTTTGCTGCCTCTGTTTGCTGATGAGCCCTGAAAGTTGCCAAACA